TTAACGCATGTTGAATTCATAGAATAACACCTGACAGATACAATAAATAGCCAAAAGTCTTACCTATTAGCACCACCATCTCTGAACTTGCTGTTCCTTCTACCATGTTTCCCCGAAAATAAGACAGAGTCTTATATTTATTTTTCCTCAAGAAGACACCCTAGGGCTTATTTTCAGGGGATGTGTTATTTTCCCCTCAAAGCCTCAGCTTGCAGCATGCACAGGATGGCCGGGACCTGACGGGGGAGCCGACCTTGTTGGTGGTCTGCCTGCACCTTTTGGGTCACCTCCAGGATAGTAGCTGTCACGATGGGGCAGATGAGAAGGGCTGTTCCGTCTTCTTTACCGCTCCACAAAGAAATGCATGAGTTGTGCAGATATGCTGCATAGCCATGACCATCACCTACATCTTATTTTCGGGGTAGGGTTTATATTGCACAAATGCTTAGAAATCCTGCTAGGGCTCATTTTATGGGTAGGTCTTATTTTCGGGGAAACACGGTATCTAGAATAGTATTATCTCTGCTTCCTCCCTGACTCCCCAAATCTCTTTTTTTCCCCTGGCTTATGTCTATTTTTTTCCTGAGGTCTAGGGTTAGCCAACTTCTCCTCCAAGGAAGCCTTTCCAAACCCTCCAATGCTGGGTTAGATACCATTCCACTGTGCTCTCGTGACGTCTGTCCATCACAACACTTCTCACATTGCCTGTTTTCCCCATGAGGCTATGTGCACCCAAATCCCCAAATTTACAACTATGCCTAACAGATGCCTAAGAACTGTTCAGTGAATGAAAAACTTTTCAGTAATGAAGTGTCCAATGAAACAACCTCAACACGTAACTGATTCAAATGTTGGCCAGGTGGCTGGTCTAAACGACTTAAGACTCCTCAACTACAGGATTCTATCCAATAAACAATTCAACACACTCTGAACTCACTGGTCACACTGGTTTGAACTTTAATATGTAAGCAATATTGGGCCACCAGATTTTTAAGGAGAGCATGACATGACCATACATATATGATCATGTTATTTGTTACCATATTACCCATTTCTAGAACACTTCTTACCCCAACCCCCTGTTGATATCAAAACAAAATTCCAACCACCTTTCATAAACATAAATACCTCCCTCCCAAACAGACAGACACAGAAACAGTCAAATCAAAGGGAATTTTGAAAGGCTAAATGCTGCATCTAACTCCATTTAAACCACCTATAAGCAGTGAGGATCCATAAACACCCTCTAGGAACCCAAAAGCTAATCCCTCCTGTGTGCTTTTATGGAAACAGGTGGGAGGAGAGAAGGAGCATTTCATAAAGGTAATCCACTTAATCGTCCTCTGAGTAGTTTTGATCCAAGCTGCTGTCATAGCAGTGTTATTCCTGATCACTGCAGCCCCATATACCCAAACCCAGGATGGTCAGAAAGTAAGTGCAAACAAGGTGAAGCTAGAGAGCTGTCTGGGTTCTATTTCAAAGGTATGAGGCTTATGAAGATACAGAGGGGGCCAGCAGAGATCCAAAAAAGACTTCAGTGATAAGGAACTGCAATCCATGGGATGGCAGGTGTTGGAGAGAGATTCAAACAGAGATATAACCACCAGGCCGTGGTTCCTGCTCCAGGATTGCATGCCACATCCCTACTGGAGATGAGGACTAATAATCATTTTGCATTTACACAAAGCACACTGAGATTAAGGAAGGCACTAAGTGTGACAGTTTACCAGTCACAAAGAGATAAACACTGTATGATTCCACTTACATGAGGTTTCTAGAGTAGTCAAATTCACAAACTGAAAGTGGTTGCCAGGGACTTGGGGGGGTGGAATAAGGAGGGTACAGAGTTTCAGTTGAGGAAGATAAAAAGTTCTAGAGATGGATGGTGGTGATGGTTGCACAGCAATGTGAATGTACTTAATGCTACTGTACATTTAAAAACTGGTTAAAATAGTAAATTTTATGTTATATATATTTCACCACAATTTTTTTTAAAAGCATGCCAGCTTTAAAGTTACACTGTCTGCAGTTAATCCTGGCTTGGCCACTTACCAGTTATATGACTCTGAGTAAGTCATGTAACTTCTCTAAGCTATTTCTTCTTTTGTAAAACAGAGATGATAATAATAGTACCTAATTCATAGGTTACTCTGAGGATTAAATGACATATGCCTCAATAGTCTGGTGACTCGTGGTACATGTTAACCACTTAAAAAATGTTAGCTATTATTACTACTAATCGCAAAGCATTTTCACAGCCATTTTCTCATAATCTCCACAACAACCCTCTGAGCATTTATAGATAAGAAAACTGAGAGTTAGAGAGCCACAATGAGTTGCTCAGTTTAAGAAGTCACGTCAAATCCTCTGCCCATGTTGTGTCCTTACCATTTGTTAATTCTTTAAGGCAAGTGCCCTAATCTTGCTATATCTTTAATCCCTTACAGTAAAAAGAAGGCAAGTTCTGCAAAGCCCCTCACAGAACTATATTAGAAATGAAATCATATAATGGTTACGGAAGAATACTATAAACCATATATAAAATAATATAAAACAAAACGGGAACTTAGAAGAATTAGTAACACCTGTAAAACCAGGTCTCCCCGTAACACTAAACATGAGGCACAGAGAGTGGCAGAGACTACAAACCTCCTTGGGATTTCCAATTACTCAGGATTCCTGATCTTCAAGGCCTAAATAAGTAGTTTAGTGTCCTTTTACAAGGTGGCAAGGTATGGGAGAAATAAAAATATTACTGGACTGAGAAGAAGACAACTGGGAATTCTAGTTCCGATTCTATCACTAAGGCAGTCTGTGAATTAGACTATTTACTTCCCCTTTCCAAGGTTTAGTTAGTAGGGAAGAGGGAAAGGCAAGTATGAAAAGTTGGACCAGATGATCTGTAAGACACCTTCCAGCTCCCACATACCATGACCGCTAAATCCAAATCTTTTTTTTTTTTTGGGGGGGGGGGAGACAGACCCACCAGACTCCAAAGAACTAATGCAAACATCAGGAGCCTGGTCTTAAGACCTGGCCCAGAAACTATCCTGCCTGATTTTAAAACACTCCCCCAAACCAGGATCAAAGACATCAGAAAACTGGGCCTTATCAGAAAACAGGACAAATGAGCACAGAGTTGAAGCAGATGACTTGAGCTAGCCATCTCCTCAAACTAAGATCAATAAAGCTAAACAACACAGAGAACATGCAAAGTTTGGGGGAGAAACATGCCATTAACAAAGAATGGACCTCACTGTTTATACAGTCTTAAGTCTTCCTGCAACCAAAACCCCAGGGAACTTCAGTTGTTTGAGATCTGGAGTCCTTCCAACCATCAACTTCTACCGGCGATATTAGTAAGAAATTCATCCTAACCTCCCTTCTCTCGGTGCTATGGTAAATCCAGAATGGGATTTCATCAATTGTATCGTGTACAATGGCCCAGAACTCAGGGAGAACCCGGAGTTTTATCTGTAACTAAATGGTGTGACCCAGGGTAAGTCAAAATTCCTCTGCACTACGAGATGATATACGCTCACACCACAAAATAAATAACACGTACTATCACCACTGTTTTACACTTTTGTGGCTTGAGCAAATTATTTTACCTCTCTGCGCCTTGATTTCTGCTTCTGTAAATGGAGATAACCCAGAGGGTCGCTGTAAGCATTAAACGAAATAAGGCAAGAAGTCTCTGAGTCAAGTCTCATTAAACGTTACCTGTTGGTATTTAAACACTTCTCTCACATATTAAAATAGTTTCCTCTCTGATTCCATGAACAAGTTTCTCTCTTTCCCCATTTCACGGAGGGGCAAACTAAGGCTCGGCCACAAAGGGGGCTGCGTGAAGTGCGGAACAGGGCCCCAGCTCGAGGGCCTTGTTGTTCCTCTCCGACGCCGAGGTGTGCAATGAGCCCAGGATCGACAGAGGTGGGAGCGCAGTGCTCAAGCCCGCGAAGAGCGAGGCAGGGCCAGTTTCGCGCGCCTCCAGGAGCTCGCAGACCCAGCCCCGGCGGGAAAGCCGGAAGATGCCCCGGGCTGGGGCCAGAGCCAGGGCCCGGCCCGCCAGAGGCCTCCCTCGCACGGCCTCCGCTCCCCTCCCTCCTCCCCTCGCCGGGCGGGGCGGGGCGGGGCGCGAGCACAAAAGACTCCAACTTCCGAGCGGGCGCGGGCCCACCCAGCCAACTCCTGGCCCAGCTCCGCCAGCGGGGAGGAAGCGGACAGAGAATGCCAGGCGGCCGGGAGCGGGTGCGGATGGACCCGAGCCGCGACCCAGGGCGACGGGTCTGGGTGGGAGAAAGGAGCAGGAGGAGGGGGCTGGAGTTACTCTGGCTCCCGGGACTCCCCGAATGGCCGAAATAAGAGTTTCTAAAAATAGGCAGTGGCCAGCCCGAAGAAGTAGGCGAATGAATAGGCACAAAGTACACCCCCCCGCACCCCTAAGGAAACGCCCGCGGCCCCCACTCACCCGCACCTAGAAGTCTGGAGAAAGCTGCGCTGCGCGGAAGGAGGCGGTGCCCCCGCGCTAGGGGTCGGAAGGAAGGGGGGAGGAAGGCGGCCGCGGCGTGAGGAGGCTGAGCCCAAGCGCGGGAATCGCCGCCGCCGCCGCCGCTACCGCCCCCTCAGCTTCTCTCAGGTCTGCCGCCCCGCGCCCGCGCCGACCGCGCGCCCAGCCGCACTGACAGCGGCGCGAGCCCCGCAGCCGCGAGCCCTTCCCTCGGCCGGCACCACCGAGGCCCGCGGGGGTGGGGGCACCTGGAGAGGCTTCCCTCAGCTCGGCCCCGCCCGCCGCTCTGGCCCTAAACCCGGGCTCTCCCTCCTCCTCTTCTCTGCCTCTGGGGAAGGACACGGTGACACGAGCACTAGGAGTCTGCAGCCCCGCCCTGACACAGCCCAGCCCGCTTTCCCCACCCCCTCAGCCCGGCTTTGGAAAGGTCCAGAGCTTGGGCGGGGAGGGGAGGAAGGCGGGGCTAGGGCGGGGCCTGTCAGGGAGGCGGGACTGAGATGGGGGTCTGGAGGCGGGGCCAAGGCGGGAAGAGTGAGCCTCTTACACCAGTTTGCGGCCGAGGGCGGGGCGGGGCCGAGAGGCTGGTGAAGCCCCTGGATGATGGGCAAGACAGGTAGGGAAGACCGTGGAGGCCTCGGAGAGCCAGGAACCAGGGAGTGCTAGAAAGAGGGGGCCGTGGGCGGGACTAAAGGGGGACTGCCCAGAGGAGGAGTCACGGGTGGAGGGAAGTGCGGTCAAGGCTGGAAAGAGGCGGGCCCTTCAGAAGCGGAGAGGGTGAAGGTGAAGCTGAAGAGAAGCCCAGGAAGGGCGAGATAGGACCTGACCTGAAGTAGGCGGGCCCGGAAGCAGGGCGGGGAGGCGGGAGTTAAGGCGTGGCCACTGTGGGAGGAGCCGGAAGGAGGCGTGCCCCAAAGGATGGTCGGGTGGGCGGGGCCTGGGTGGGCGGGGCCTGGAGTTGGGTCCCAAATCAGTGTGCTGGGGGCGGTACCCGAGGGATCTGGAAGAGATGAAGTAGGAAGAAACAACTGGTCCTTTCACTTTCCCTGGCCTCGTGGCCTGGGTGAAGATTAAATTCAAGTACCTTTACCTTTCTGGAGTGCAGATGTTTTTATAACTTGATTCAGGTAGTGGTCCTCCCTCCTAAACGTCTCTCCTGTCGGGATTTCTCACTTAAATGAGTGTTCTAGCCTCTAGGGTCTCCCACACCCAACCTCCGGCCTCCGCAGAACAGCCAGAGGGCTCTTGTGAAGCACAAGAGCACCGTTGTCCTTCAGTCCTCAGCTATAGACTTTCCTCAAAGGCTGGGAGCTGACCAAACAAATTCTCCATGCCTCATCCGACCTGTGATTTTACGATTGTATTTTTTATGTTGCCTCCACAGAACCTGCCTAAGAGATGAGATTCCTGAGAGCAGAGCAGAGTTTGAATTCAGAGTCCCAGCTTTGCCAGGCCAGCAGTTATAACTGCCCTTCTGTTGTTTGACCTCTGTGCCCTCTTGAAAAGGAAGAGAAATAAAATTAGAGAATTGGTGACCCGGAGAGCAAGGCCTGGGATGTTCTGCCCCAACTCTCTGCTTAAATATCACCTTCTCAGAGAGGTCTTCCCTAAGTACCTTGTCTAAAGGTGTTCTCTAATTTGTCCTGTTGTTCTGTCATTTGTCTGTTCATATGTTTTTCACTGTTGTGTATATCACTATGTTCCCAGACTTAGTGCAAGGTCTGGCACACACCTAGTGCTCAATAAACACTTGAATCCATCAATCAATGGATTAATAAATCCAGACCCTGCTAACTTCCTCTGCTCTGTTTCTGGCCATTTCTGGGGTTCCTCACCTCCCTCCCTATGCACTAGCCTTACCATATTTGCTTAAATACACCACAGCCTCTCAGCACCCTCTGCTGAGAATTTTCACTACTTAACTTGCTCCTCCTCTTCTGCCCAGATGCTTCTAGTTCTTCCTTCAATGCTCAATTCAGTGGCCACCCCCTCTGAGAAGCCTTCTGTGACCTCCCTTCAGCCCCACCACCAGGCAAGTTGAGGCTCTCACCCCTCTCACCCCATCTATGGCCTCGGTTATAAAACTTAATTCTGCAGATGATGTCCTGTTCCCTGCTGACCCTGAGGATTATGTTCACACAGAACCTAAGGTCCTGTGTGACGTGCCTCCCTCCTGCTGACCTTCTGACCTCATCCCCTAATGCTCTCATCCCTCTCATTCTGTTCTAGCCACACATTGACCTCTTTCCTGTTCTTTCAATATGCCAAGCATATTCCTGCCTTGGGACCTTTGCACATGCTATCATGTCTGCCTCAAATGCTCTTCTCCCAGATACTGGTATGGCTTACTCACCTTTTTCAGGTCTCCACTCAAATGTCACTTCTTCAAAGAGCCTTTCCCTGGCCCACATTTAGAATATAATACCCCACACCTTTGCACTTCCTCATACTCATTCCTGCTGGATTTTTCAACATAGCATTTATCACCACCTGAAATATTATATTTTTTTATTGCTTCTCTCCCATTCCCACCTTCCACTACAGTGTGATCTTCACAAGGGCAGGATATTATCTGTTTTGCTCATTCCCCACTGCTTAGAACAATTGGTCCTCATTAAATATTTGTTGAATGAGTGACTACAAATTCAACAGAGAAATGTCAGGAAGACTCAGTGTTGACCAGAAGAATGTGAAAATTACAGTATGAAGGGAGATGTTTCTAAGGAAATATGCTGGCAACACTAGTTAACACTGAGCGTTTACTAATTGCCAGACAATCTGCTAAGTGCTTATTTAATTCCTACAACAGCCCTATGAGATAGGTACTATTATTATCTCTATTGTACAGATGGGGAAACTGTGGCACAAAAAGGTTAACTTTCCCAATATCACAGAGCTAGTAAGTGATGGAGTCCAGCTTTAGAACCTGCTTACTGAATCACTATACTATCCTACCTCCTAATTATTAAGGACCTAGGGTTGTTGGTCTGATAAAGGTGATGGATGAGGAAGGAACATTCTTTTGCCTTCTGGGTACTGTGGTATAGGGTATGATGTAGCAGTTATTTTTTTTTTAGCCACCATGAGGGAAGCCAGCCAGAAGACAAAACCATCACATGGAGGAAGGCAGGACCAAGAAAATATTGCAGAAAAATTGAGCCAGAGATCTGATGAAGGCATTCCTGAAGCTTGACTCACCTCTGCACTTCAACATGAAACAATACATCTCTACAGTTTAAGTAGTTTGAGTTGTAAATTTTTTTAACTTGAGGCCATAATTTCCTAACTAAAACAGATGAATAGAGTTCAACAAGTAGAGATAAAATATCAAGGTCAAGGTTGGATGAACTTTAAATGTACTCTGATTCAACTGGATTTTTAATCCCCCTAGTAGTCCTGTAAGGTTGGTTCTGGTTTTATCCCCATTTCATGGATGAGGAAATGTGACATTGCTGATGTCTCACAGATGGTAAGTGAAAGAACCAGGAACTCATGCAGGGCTGAGTTCCAAGGTGTGTACATTCAGCCACTTTCTCTCTCCACCACTGGACTTAATTCTGCCCTCTGAACTTATCGTGAATGGGCTCATTCCTCTTCAGAGATGTGACAGTGATTGCAGAGCTACCTGTGCCAGGATTTGGAAGATGGAGTCAAGAGAAAAGAGTAGAGGGTTCCAACAGGTGTCTTCATCGAAGGCAAAGAATAAAAAGGAGCAGGTGAGGGAGAGGGTAGTGGGGGAGAATCGGCAGGTGGGGATGGAAGGATATAAGAAGGAAGAAGACAGGCTTGCCATTAGAACAGGCTTTGCAAAATCAGATGCCTATAGGGTCAGGCAAGTACCATAAATGAGTTCATGTCCCTTCTAGAGGAGAAAGCTACTACTCATGTGGAAATACAGGCACCTGCTGTTACCAGTTGTCAGATCTAAAAGGGGAGGTTTGGGGGAAGCTCTAAGTCCAAATTTTATATGAAATCATTTGATTTTTAAATGCTGGCAACTAATTCAAGTTTTAAAAGAAACCACCATGCAGACCGAAAGACACACATCTTAAGACTGGGTTTGGCCTGTGGGCTTCCAGTTCATGCCATCTAAACAATTTGGTCCAAACCCCACTTTACCATGTGATCTTGAGCAAATTATTCCAGCCCCCAAGTCCCAGGTTCTTATCTGCAAAATGGTAATAATTAATTCCCTACATCGCAGGGTTGCTTTAAGGGTTTTTTTTTTTTTTTGAGAAGACTATGTAATAAAATTTATTTTTTTTTATTTTAGCCTATTATGGGGGTACAAGTGTTAAGGTTACATATATTGCCCATGCCTCCCTCCCTCCTCAAGTAAGAGCTTCAAGCATGTCCATCCCCCAAACGTTGCACAGCTTACTCGCTGTGGTTGTATATACCCATCCCCTCCTCCTCTCCTGAGGATTTTTAAAAATAAGATAAATGTATGTAAAGCTCTTAATGCAATGCCTGACATAGAGCAAACATTCAAAATAGTTTTATTATCAGTGTGAAAGTCATTATGCTTTCCCCTGTAACTTATAAAATCATGAACTATTAGAATTAGAAAGCCCCTCAAAGGGGTTTTCAAACTTATTAAGCTATAAAGCCCTCTTAAGCAAGACCTTTCCCAGAAAGGCAACACATAAAACATTGGGGAGGCCGGGCACGGTGGCTCATGCCTGTAATCCTAGCACTCTGGGAGGCTGAGGCGGGAGGATTGCTTCTGCTCAGGAGTTTGAGACCAGCCTAAGCAAGAGTGAGACCCCATCTCTACTATAAATAGAAAGAAATTAGCCAAACAACTAAAAACAGAAAAAATTATCCAGGCACGGTGGCACACCTGCCCCAGAGTCACTCCCCACCAATACATCACTCACTGCCCAGCTCTCATCATTCCTGCTCTGCTCAAAACCCTTCAGTGGCTTTCCATGGCCATGCCAACAGCATAGATCAAAAACTCATAGACCAGCAGTTACTTGTTAAAGAAAAAAAAAAAAAAAAACTCAAATGCTTATAGGGGCCAGAAAGCAGGTTGGGGTGAGACAATAGGGAGCAGAGAGCATCTGCCACGTAGATAGGGGACAACCAGCCAGCTGTTGCTAGAATACAGGTGCTAAGATGCAGGGTTTTTCAAGAGAACCCCAAAATTTGGATATTCATATAAAATTTCCTAACCCATTTTTAAATGTTGGCTAAAATAGTAAAAAAAAAAAAAAAAAAACAAAAAAAACTGTGCAAGCCAAATGAACTATGTCTGCAGGCCAATTATTATAGGCTGTGGTCTGGAAATTGGCAATCTCTGGCCTTTAGAATAAAGTCTATTTGGGTATGCACTTTTGAAGTCTGTTTTAATTATCTGTTGTTACATAACAAACCACCCCAAAGTTTAGTGGCTTAAAACAACTATTTTTTTTTGAGACAGAGTCTCACTTTGTTGCCCAGGCTAGAGCGAGTGCCATGGCGTCAGCCTAGCTCACAGCAACCTCAATCTCCTGGGCTCAAGCAATCCTGCTGCCTCAGCCTCCCGAGTAGCTGGGACTACAGGCATTCGCCACCATGCCTGGCTAATTTTTTCTATATATATTAGTTGGCCAATTAATTTCTTTCTATTTATAGTAGAGACGGGATTTCGCTCTTGCTCAGGCTGGTTTCAAACTCCTGACCTTGAGCAATCTGCCTGCCTCGGTGATTTGTTACTTCTTACAATTTTATGCCTTGACCAGGTGGTTCTGCTCCATGTGGTGTTGGGTGGGAAAAGCTTCCTCCCATCCCCTCCTACACATGTTCTATTTCTTTTCAAACCCAAGTACCAATGGTCCCTCCTCCATGAAGCCTGCCCCATCACCCTTGCCATGAACCTTGCCACTGGCTAAGTCTAAATCAGATGCTCTGCTCTCCAAGCTTTATTGCCCTTTATTTGTAACTATTAGAGCATGTGTCCTGCTCACTGAGAGAACAGAGGCCTGTCTTGCCCCTCTTTGTACCCTCCCAGCACAGTCACACAGGAAGTCCCCATAAGTGTTGTCATATTGGATTAAACTGAGCTGACACTTGAAGATATTTAGTCCAACTTGCCCATTTTACAGATAAAGAGTGAGGACTAGGCTGGGCGTGGTGGCTCATGCCTATAATCCTACCACTCTGGGAGGCCGAGGCAGGAGGATTGCTTGAGCTCAGGAGTTCAAGACCAGCCTGAGCAAGAGTGAGACCCTGTCTCTACTATAAAAATAGAAAGAAATTAGCCAAACAACTAAAAATAGAAAAAAATTAGCTGGGTGTAGTAGCACGTTCCTATAGTCCCAGCTACTTGGGAGGCTGAGGCAGGAGGATCGCTTGAGCCCAGGAGTTTGAGGTTGCTGTGAGCTAGGCTGATGCCACGGCACTCTAGCCTGGGCAAGAGAGTGAGACTCTGTCTCGAAAAAAAAAAGAATGAGGCCTAGAGAGGGGAGCTGACACATCATGTACACTGACAACTGCCCATCAAAAGAGTTGCAGGACCAGGGATAGAGCCCTTGCATCTTGATCCCTAGAATGATATAGGTTAAACTTCTTGCTGATATAGATATCTAGGATGTGAATAGAAGACATTTTTCATTTCAGATGCACCCATCATTGTGTCTTAACTAGGAGCCTGGCC